AATGCAATATCCAGATTTAGATTGCAGGAACTTGGACCATTTACCTCTCTCCTTTACATCAATGTATGCTTGCATGTATATTCTTTCATCACATCTTTAATCACGCCATTATCTTGGCCATTAAGTCAGCAGAATTTCACATCATAATAAGTGGGATTACTTAGGACATGCGAGAACAGAATAAGAGAATGCACTAATGGTTTTAAGTTAGTTGTGTAGTTATATTTTTTAATAAGGAATTTTATTTTTAGTTATCAACCAGAAGTCCAGGAGTAAAGTTTTCTCTAGGCTTGGGGTTCGGAATGTTAGACTGTATGCTTATCCATATTTACAGCTTTCAGGTATACATCTGTTTATCCTCCTGAACCTCACCCACTAGCAGACGAAAAGACAAGTGATCTGCGAATACAGCAAAAGCTTGCTCCCTCCTGCATTCAGCCACTGGAAGTCATGATTCAGGCATGAAGTAACCTGAATTCCATGTTTACTTATTTGAATTTTGAAGTAACTTTTGACCAAATTTCCCCCTCATTTTCAGCTGGAAGGCTCTGGGAACTGGCCAACTGATGAGGTAGCAATTGAAAAAACCAAAACAGCCTTCCTTCTTAAAATTGGAGAGAGGTGAGCAAAAAGTTGATTTTGTCATGACAACATTAACCTCAGAAGTCAATCTGATGGTTTCAATATTGCAGTCTGCAGAATATTCGGGGGATGACGTGTATTGCTTCTGAAGATTCTGTTAATGTACTTGTCTCTGGTTATGCCTTCCACCTAAAAATTTGGCATGAAAAAGGTCTGAGCTTGGTGAATAAGGAATGTAAGGCCTCATGTCTCTGACATACTTTTATGCAGTCATGGTTCTGGTGGTACTGAGGGTTTCCTGATAACCATTTGAATGTTAACATCCCAACCTATCTTTGCAGTTGGAAATGAATTATCAAATCGGATCTCCTCAACAGATAAGCAACTTTTTATTGAAAGTCAGCATTCAAGCATGATTAGTGGATTACAGGCTCGTCACTCAATATATGGACCGGTTGTTAGGTATGTACTGGTTATTGTGTATTTGATAGATTTCTGTAATACACTCCTCACTACTTTGTTTTTGGCACTTTAAGGTTGGCAAAAAGATGGATAGCCTCACATTTCTTTTCAGCATGCTTGGTAGATGAAGCAGTTGAACTGTTGGTAGCATCAATTTTCCTGAAGCCTCTACCCTTTCATGCACCACTTTCTCGAATCACAGGTTTTTTAAGGTGTGTATATGTCTAATTTATCTTTGCATAGTATCGTTTTTGTTGGGAGCCTTTCTCTTTCTGTAATTCTCGTTGAAGGAAGGTGAAACTGATGAGTTAAATAAAATAACAAAAGGCCGAAATGAAAGTGACCAGAAAAAACAGAACAAAATATCAATTACAAAAAGATGCTCCAGTTATAAGTAAAAAAATTATGGACAATTGCAGAAAAGAACTTAGACGTAGAAATCAAAAGGGAGGCATTATATTAGAATGAGCCAAGTCGCACACCCTTCCTAAAACCCCACTACGCCCTTAAAAGGCTCTCGTCTCTCTCTAGCCAAATACTTTCACTCAATAACAAGAAAAGTAGCTTGCCAAACAGTCCTTCCTTTATCTTGTGAATGAGAATGTGAGAGCACCACCTCTAGCATCAGAGTAACAATTCCTACTTTGGGTCAACCGGACTTAGAAGTTATTGAAGAATGAACTCTAGATAACTGTGACGAGTTGACATCTCCACGACATATGGTCTAGATCCTCTTACAGGCGTTTACTAAGAACAACGCTCTGCTGAGGCCTCAAAGCCATAGACGAGGACCTCTTGGATGAATTATGCGTACATATGTGTGGGAATATATATTTGAAAATTTTAACCTTCCAAATTGTGAAAGCAAAAGCTGATTTTATTGAAATTTTGAAAAGAAAGAGGCAATCAGACGGGAAGATTTACAAGAAGATGTTGCCGAATACTTGGGTCCAAGAACAACACTTCTTGTCTCCGGTAAAATTGCAACCCTTATAGAAGGGAGCAGTGAGGACCTGCTGTGAGCTGGCCTATTGGACAAGACTAAAGCCTCTTGATGCAACAGTTATACGAACTAGAACCCTCAAACAATAAGTAGCGACAAACAGTTTACTCAACTTTCTTGGAAGAAGGATTATAGAGATGAGAGAAAAGTTAACAAGAGGGGCTCTCACCCAACAATTGGTTCTCTGAAAAACATTTAGTTCCCTCCCTAATGGAATGACTTAGCAGATAATTACAAAATCCTTAGAATCATAAGCCCACAAAGAGATTAATTCTAAGGATATCCCGAACTTCCTCATAGGATTACGCACCCTCAAAATAGGGGAAAAAACAAGTATGTTTCTTGATCAAGAAGACTTTTTGTGATTGTCTTCTCGGTCTTATTTTATTTGTTACGAGCTCATTTTTTTAGTTTGTCTCCTTTTTTGTGTGTCTGGTTTTTGTATCTCCTTGTATTCTTCATTTTTTTCAATGAAAATTTGGTTATTTATGAAAAACAAGCATGCCATAGGATACTGCCCTAATCCCATCCCGTAGAATTTTGCTCATATGTACTCGCTATAATATTATGCTACAAAGTGTCAAAATTTAAAGTGACATTCATAAGTGTACCATGATAATTGAATTTTTATCATTAAATTCTCGATTCTTTTTTTCATTTGACATCCTATATAGCTTGGTTTGTTCGCAGCTCACTTAATCTGTTTCTGCACCGTGACTTCTTTACAGGTTCCTAAGATTACTGTCGGAATATGACTGGACTTTTTCTCCATTGATTATTGACATAAACAATGATTTGGGTGTGAACGAGGAGAAAGAAATAGCTGTAAGTTCTTAGGTTAGGAAACAGTTCCTATTATAGTTATGGGTAACCTTTAATTGCTATTTATTCTCACTGGATTTTTATAGGATAAATTTAACATGACACGAAAAGATTTGCAAGAAAATCCGCAAAGTGCAAGTCCTGCCATGTTCTTAGCAACAGCTTATGACAAGGCATCCGAGGCTTGGACCCGGTTCTCACCAAAATCATCGGTATACTATTGCCAACCAAGACCTTAAATATTGAGCTTTATTGCACTAGTATAACAACATTTCTCCAGCTTTATAATTCGTCTGTTACTGACTTTATGCGCCCATGTTAAAAGGAGTTGAAACGGTTGGTTGCTTATGCTAGAAGCAGCGCAGATTTGTTGAGTAGACTAATTTTACAGCATCAGGTCGACTCTTTTCAGTGGGAGGTGAGTGTGTATGCTAAAACCATTATTTGATTGTTTTGTTTGCGTCTTTGGATGCTGCTGTTGTGTAGAAACCTAACGATGTAATGTTTCTTTGGTCTACAGTGCCTTTTCCGAACACCATTGAGCAACTACGACGCTGTTATTCTTCTCCATAGAGATAAATTACCGTACCCACAACGCCTTCTCTTCCCATCTGAACTGAACCGAGGTATTCTTCTTAAGTTGTCCTTTTTGTCGATTGCCTCCTGTCGATGCTTTTGATATCTGAAGTTTAATCATAAGCATATGTTGGTAGGAATTCATGTCGCCAAAGGGAATCCTAGCAAGATCTTCTCTCCATTTTTGTTGCCTAGAAACTTGAAAGCAAGTTCTGAGAACATTAAGGACAAGCTTTTGGTAAATTTTGATCCATTAAGGTGTTATATTGCGGATCTGCAGGCAAGTAACTTGATTTGCTTTGAAATTGCATTATTAACGTCGATTTTGTTGCTTACCCTCCTCCATCTCTATGAAAATGTAGAAAGAATTCTCCAACACTTTCAACTTATGGTATGACTCTTTGGGAGGCGATGCAATTGGACTAACTTGGGGGCAACAAAGTTCAAAGGTACAATAGTTTACTTGTCATTTGAAGAGAGCAAATTATATCATCACATTTTACTTATTTGACCGAACCGAATCTTCTTACCTCATCAGAAGCGTGGACGTGATGAATCTGTTGAGGAGGAAAAAGAACCAGCTGAAGTGCTAAAATCTGTTGGTGAAACTGGTAAAGGTCTAATGAGGAGTGTCTACCTACTCAAGGCCCCAAGACTCACGACTTAAGCTTAATGCCATGGAATTATTGTTCTGGGGTTTTTGACTTCATTGTTGTTATGGATGGAGGCAAGTGTTGCCAGATTACCTACCCAGCTCTTATTATTTATCCGATTATGTTTACCCCATTTTTCGGCTGGAAATTTGTGGGTTAATGTAATTCGGTGGGGTTATGTCTATGGTAGAAGAACTGAAAATTTATTCAAATGTATATTTGATTATTGATGTATTAATATCAAGGAAATTTTGGATGTATGTTTTTAATTTATAGTTGAAGAATTATTTTAGCATAGTGTGCGAAAAGAATTGGGGTTGATCGAGTTTATATGATGTATTTGAAAGTGGACTTACCATTTCTCTCATAATTTTGTTAAGTCTTTCAAGTTTTTTAGACTGAAGACCAATTAAGTTCTTTCCATCCTTATTTTAGCTATCAGCTATCACTGTCACAGGGAAAATTTTAATATCAAATGATTAGGAATCACTACTAAGAAAATAAGATTCGAATAATTTGGTTGATTGAATGTCTGAAGGCAAATCATGTCTGAATTAAGACACCTTATTTTGTATCATTTCCTCCTAAATCTGTGTTAGACTACTTATATCTTTGCAATTCTACATCACCTTATGGAAACTAATTGGATTTTTGTCGTTAATTAATGGTAAACACTCATCTTTTTGGAAGAGTGCTTTACTTGTTTGAAAATGAAATTTGAACTTGGAAGCATATTGTTCTAAGAATTCATCTCAAATAGACAGTAAAACGTTTCAGGCAGCCTTCATTTCCTAATGCATGCATTTTCCGGTACAAATTTGTAGTTGTCCTTTCATTCAGTCAATCCTTCAATCTCTAAATAGGAAGAAAGCATGTTGAATAATCACGGGAATTGGCGGAAGTTTGTTAACAAGAAAATATGGGTAGATATTGAACATGGAAAATGATCATTACAACTCAAAACACAGGCAAGAGTTAACCCTCAACTCTAATATGCTTCTTTCCTGCATGATTTGCCAACTCCAACATATTGGATCAATGGGATAACATTTCAAGAATAGGCATTGTAGCAACCAAATTTCAGTCACATGGCTTAATCTATGGAATGCTCTAAAGGTATGCATACAATAAACCCAATTATTCTTAACTGAGGCACTCTGTGTCTGAATAAAGATGGATGCGAGGCATTTTTTCGTTCCCGGCATCTATTTAGACTTCTTTCCTTGTTTCTTTTTTATGACCTCGTCGATATACATTATGCCCTTGCCTTTGTATACTTCTGGCGGCTTACAGCTACGAACTGCAGCAGCAAATTGGTGCACCCTTTGTTTGTCAATACCCGTGCAGCAAACCACATTGTTTTTGAAGCAAAAGACACGAACAGCTGGTGGAACGGTTAGTTCAACTTCGTGGCTGTATCCCAGTTTAAGATACAAGAGACGTCCTGCTGCTTCTGCTCTGGCTTTGTAACCAACTCCCACAATCTTCAGGAACCGAAAAAACTTGGCCTCCATTATAGTTCCTGCTCACCTATTAAGATGGAATTAGCAAACTACTTAGTCTACTGATATTTGAGAGATCATATATTCCATATTTGTTGGAAACAGAAGAAATATAAATGGTTAACGTTAGACAAGAAGCAAAATCATGCCTTAAAACTGTAACTGGAAAGGATCTCTGGAGAATACATCACCAAATTTATAATTTGGCAAGCCAATAAGAACGGGCAGAAAATACTTGCAATAACTTGAACTCCCACAGGATCATTGGTTCAAAACCAGGTACGATAGTCAGCATTCGAGTGGAATTGAATTCAAAAACTTCTACTCTAAAATTGTGTCAACTTGATTATAGAGATTCCACAACCTGGAACCACGCAACCCACCCAACCTATTCACTGTAAGCCCATCAACACCCTCAAATTGTTCGTGTGATAACCTAAGATGAATGGGATTCGGTTTAAGATTTTCTGCTCCAAAATTCATCAAATCTCCACCAGACTTGAAAATTGAATTCTTAGGTTGAGATAAATTTAATCACACGAAAGTTTAAAGAGATTAAGTAGTAGATAAAAGATAATCCAGCATCTCCTCAGCCACTCCTCATCCACATCACACCCTATTGACTCGATCCCCAGCATAAGTAAGCAAATAAATAATTTTGAACTCTGTCAGTAAATCTTGTGGTGGTTACTAGAATCAGATCACATTCAGAGGAAGTAAAGATGTTGCTTCAATAGGAGAGCCATCCATACAAAAGTTCATGCTGAGTTACGATTCGTATCTCAAGCAATTTGAGGATTCTACAACTAAAGTCTACAACTGATAATCATCTTCATGGAGAGGCTTTGCAAATAGAAGACCCAGAATGTCGAGAAAAAAAGGAACTCACTAGATTATCTCACGTGTATACATCAGTACTAAACAAAAATGTGACAGTAACTATCGAATCACGGTTATTACATGCTTGGGCTGGAAAAACGTCGTCACTCAAACTAATTACTCATTGATATCAGACATTCGAACAGCATATTAGAAGATTGACCAATGTATATAAATATAATCGAGATTGTAGCAATCGTAACTGTGCAAAACCTAAAAAAGACAAACCTTGAAGTAGGCGGAGTGAGTGAGATTAAGGGGAGGGAGAGAAGGCGGAACAGAGGAGGCCGTATTGAGGCTTGAGACTACGATTGATTGGGAGAAGCTGAGATGACTGGGATTGCAAGAGATTGAAGGTTCAAAAAAATCTTCGGGATCTGGAGAATTAGCGGCGGCGAATTCGTCGGGGGTGCGACAGAACGGGCTGCACTGGCTTGAAATATTGAAGGCGGCTGAACGTGAAATAGGGTTCAGAAAAGGAAGAAGGAAAGGTGGGATTGCAAAGTAATAATAATAATAAATAAATAAATTACAAGTGAAATTCAATTTTTTTTTTCTTTTTTACTTTTGATTTGGTATTTAGTTGATTTATGATATATTTAAAAATTTTAAAAATAAAGAATAAAGAATAAAAAATAAATATACCAAAATTACGAATTAAAATGGTAATTTATAGCTTAAAGTATTTAAAGTTGCAATCAAGATTGGTCACATTATGAGGAGTACAAAAATGGAGTTTGTACTAAAATTGTTATTGAAAGGACAAAGCAGCTTGATATACGAAAGCGATTGCGCGCCAACATCGGGAATTTTCCTGTTCTGTGTTGTAATATATGGAAGTGCTTCCGATCGCATGCAAGATCGGACGAAGTGACAAAGATTACTGCCTGCAAGTCGCTTTCAGTACATGTAACAATCCCACGGACGATCTGAAATGGTTGGATTGAAGTTGAATTTTCCGTTTATCCATTAAGACATGAGCGAATTTAGCTGTTGTTTACAAGGAATAGAGACGGAGCTATGTGGAATCGAAGCTTCAGCAGCAATGCAACGCGCGCGGTGTTGAAGGAGAAGAAATGGGATGCGCTCATCGTCGGCGCCGGCCACAACGGTTTGATAGCCGCCGCTTATCTTGCCCGTGGCGGCCTCTCTGTTGCGGTGCTTGAGAGGCGCCATGTGATTGGCGGCGCTGCTGTTACCGAAGAGCTGATTCCAGGGTTTAAATTCTCTCGCTGTAGTTACCTCCTAAGCCTCCTTCGGCCCTCCATCATCAGGTAGTTGTAGCTCTTCTCTTTTCTGATCCGATTCACCATTTGTTGCCTGTGAGGCTATTTTTCATTTCATTTCGATGGCGTTCGGGATTGAAATTGAAGGGACCTGGAATTGAGGAGACATGGGCTGAAGCTATTGAAACCCATGGCTGCATCTTTTACACCCTGCCTCGATGGTCGTCATCTTCTACTTGGAATGGACGATGAACATGATTACTTGGAGATATCTAAGTTTTCAAAAAGGGATGCAGAGGCGTACCCAAGGTGATTCTCTCTTTATAATATCTTTCTTATCATTAAGCCTGATCATTTAGTTTATCGTAGATTTTGTTGTAAACTTGGTTCGTGGCTGATGAATAGATATGAAAGACAGCTTCATAAGTACTGTAAGTTCATGGATTTTATCTTGGATTCGCGAACTCCTGAAGCATTACATAAGGGTTCATCATTTAATGACCGGTTGAGAGAGAAGGTGCAGAACTCTATTTTCTGGGGTCGTTGTCTCCAGCATGCGCTATCATTAGGACAAAAAGATATGGTGTAAGTAATTTGAACCAGGATAGTCTTTGCTAGGCATTGATTTAATTAGTTACTCTCTGATGCCTCTATTTAATTTTTGATAGGGAGTTGATCGACCTTCTAGTATCACCAACTTCTAAGGTCTTAAATGAGTGGTTTGAGGTAATAATGGACTTCGTTTACTTGGATTTTGAGAAGTTTATCTTGGTTGTGAGTTCATATTTTAGATGCTAAGATCTGCCAAATGTTTTAAAAGTTCCTCAGATGTTTAATAAGCCAGAGATTTGCTTATGCTTGCTCCATTAAAATGTTAGCTCCAGGGTAGCCTCAACAGTCTGAGTTTCTCTTGCTTTTTATTTGATTCTCTGCCTGGATGGATGTTTTGTGGCTAATAACCATTTCAATTCTAACCTTATTTTTGGTTCACACAGTCGGACGTATTGAAGGCAACACTTGCAGGAGATGCCATCATTGGGACAATGGTGAGACTTTATACTTTGGTTTAAATTTGGTTCCGCTGCATACTAAATTCATTTGAGCATCATGATTATTATACATCATCCCCCGCTAACCTAACGGTCCGCTATAGCAAAGTAAGCTTCAAAAGCCCTTTCGAGATTCTTAGTCAAGCCTCAATGCCCTACAATCTTTCTAAAGCGTAAACACCTTGACTCCATCCCCCTTTCTCTCTATAGTAGAAAATCTTTGTGTCATTGAATACTAATGGCTCTAGGAATGTATATCGTCATCATAAATAGATGTAATCATTGAGACGACCTTACTTGAACAGGATTTGTTCTATAGGTTGAACAAGTACAATTGTATCCTTTATTTCTGAAGATTTAACTACTGAACAAGTACAACAAGTCATACAATAAGTCATACTAGAAGATCAGCCTTCTTCTATCAATGCAGAATCATGATCAACTCCTGATACAGAACATGATAATAGGAAATATTAGTTTATATTACTGCTAATATAAATGGTACATTGTCTTTGTTAATCAACGAAAATTTTCATTCCAATTCAGTTTTGGAGATTAAATATTCTAGTTATAATGGTTTTAAAGCTCATTCATCAAGTCAACTTTTCTTTTCCTACTTCAAATGATGATTCTCAATTTATCTTTGGCAGACAAGCATCAATGATTCTGGAAGCGGATATGTCCTACTACATCATGTAATGGGAGAAACTACTCATGGCGACCGTAATATTTGGTCGTGAGTATCTCATCTTATAAACATTTACAGTACAGACAGCTAATTTGGCAATTTGAATCGTAACATATGGTTAGGTCAATGTAATGATATTTATGCAAGCAAACATGTAGGTCACAAGTGACGTTGGGGTTTTATCCTCGAAATTAATTGTATACTGCATGATGTGCTTTGCAGCATTTTAACAATATTCATTGAAGAATATTAACATAAATTGCAGACATGTTGAAGGTGGGATGGGTTCGGTATCCATGGCCATAAGTAATGCTGCCAAAGAAGCTGGAGTTCATATTGCAACAAATGCAGAGGTATTCTATTACAATATTCAGCTCTTGACAACAACTGGATGTAGTCTTGAAGCTAGTCCATTTACTTTTGCTCATATACAATATTTATCTTGATGGTCAGGTTTCAGAATTGATGATAGAAGACTCTGGTAGATTAAAGGGGGTTAGTTTATTTATTTTCTTGGTCCATCTAGAGGCATCTTCTTATATTCTTATACATCTGCTATATCTTATTAATTAAGGTGTTGCTGGTGGATGGGACACAAGTGCATTCGTCGGTTGTTCTATCAAATGCAACCCCCTATAAAACATTCATGGTATAATGCTTTACATTAGAGATAAAACACATTAACGTTGATTTGTGTTGCTCAGTTTCTCGTCTTAATGTTTCTGTCGTAGGAAATGGTGCCTCATACTTTTCTTCCAGATGATTTTCTACATGCTATCAAATGTTCCGACTATACCTCAGTAAGATGTACTTGATTATTTATCTTGCTATTTTTCTGAAATGGAATAAATGTCCAACTTCTCAGAACTTCATATTTCCCTTATATTTAGTTGTGAGATCCTTTTATTAGTTTACCATTGCTCTCAGGCTTTTATTATCAAAAAAATCTTCGTGAGATCCCACATCGGTTGGAGAGGAGAACAAAACATTCTTTATAATGATGTGGAAATCTCTCTCTAGCAGACGCATTTTAAAAACCTTGAGGGAAAAGCTCAAAGAGGACAATATCTGCTAGAGCTGGGCTTGTGCCATTACAATCTCAACCTTTCTTTAGAAAAGGAAGCAAATGCAAATTTTTTCCTCCACCAAACTGCAATTTGCTCAACTAAAATCAAATTTACATAAAATAAGGAACCTCAGCCTTTTATTTTTTAAGTTAAATGAGTTTCACTGTGGTTGTGGATATGTGGGTATGTGGATCTCTTTTTGCTGTCAGTAAGGTATCCCTGCTGGTCTTATTTGCTTAGGTAACTGGTTGGAAAAATATTCACCGATGATGATTGTTGAATAAAAAGGGCAAGGGCGTGAGCTCATGTTTCCACTGTTCTTGCATTTATTTAATATCTATAATGCTCTTAAAGTTGTAAGATCCTTTTAAGTCCACTTTTCTTGGATTCTTTTAGTTGGGATGACTCGACGAGTTAGAGGCATGATGACCCTTGCAACAAGGATAGATGACCTTTTCTTTTCCTCGAGTTTGAGTTTTATCATTCGCTTTTAAACTGCCATAAAGGAACGTCTTTAAAAGTAATAAAAATGAAAAAAAAGCTAATTATACGTCTTTCCAAATGTTCAATTAGAAAAAGAAGTATTTTGTAGTTACTTTTTTATTCTAACCTTTGTTCCCATGCTTGGACTTGCTGGCTAGAACAGGGAACAACAAAAATAAATGTTGCTGTTGACAAATTGCCGCAGTTCCATTCTTGCAACTTGAATAGTCAAGAGGAGGTGGGTCCTCAGCATACAGCAACTATTCATATTGGTGCTGAAAGGTAGGAGAGACAATACTATTATTTTCATGTCATTAGTAGCCGCACCAGAATCATATTCAATATTTGTTTTGCATGCTAGAGAAACTCATCACGTTATGCATACTTTTAATTCTTTTATGACATTGAATGCATTTAACAGCAATTCTGTTGTTAGTGGTTGAGATCAATATGAATCGGGGAAAAAAGAAAGGAAAAAGAAAGAGAAGGAGAATCCTCTTATAATATGTCTTGTTTTGGAAAGTAATGCATTTGATTATCATTACAATCCTCACCTTTCTTTCTTGGTCTCTCTTTTAGAATGGAAGATATTGGCAAAGCTTGCCAAGATGCCTGGAATGGCTTTCCATCTAGACGACCTATTATGGAGATGACAATTCCTTCCTCTCTGGACAAAACTGTATCTCCCCCTGGTATTGTGGTTCATATGCTCCTCCAATCACTCTTCTACCTGTTTAGCTTAAGAACTATCCTTGTTTGTTACCGTTCCTAAAGTAGGAAACGTTCCGATTTTAGAATGGAGGATACCGGTAAAGCTACGGTATGCTGCTAATTATCCCATTGGCTGTAAATTTTCAAGAGTTTTATTGTAGGTAAGCACGTAGTCAGTTTATTTACGCAGTATACGCCCTACAAACCTCTAGATGGGTGCTGGGAAGATATTACATACAGAGTAAGTTGTTTATGCATTTGTTCA